ATTCTCTGTATTGTAATTCACTTTAGCTTCAGCAAAACTCCGGGAGGTCTGGGGAGCTCATATGTTAAACAGCAGAGGAAGCAGTCTTTGTATACGCTAATTCGGAGTGTCTTTTGTTGTGTTGGTTTCTTCCTTTCCCATCTGCATACGAAGGTGTGTCTTGCTCTACCAAAAGGGGCTTGCAGACTGTGAATCTTCAGACTTGTCCTGAGAGAGGCTAGGGTCTGTGCCCTGACTCTGTCAGGACATTCTCCTTGTACAATGTAACAAGTAAAAGATTAACTTTGTCTCTTTGTTGTGTGAGATTTCATCAGGTTCAACTGTAGCTGAAACAGCATTATCACTTGGTCCTTCGAGCCGGATCCCAACACTTCTTACAGGAGCTGAGCTTGTCTCAAACATGGACTTCCAGGAGCAACAACAAGGCCTTCTGCACTCAGAACTGCATTGGAACTCCAGGTTTGAGGCAGGACAGCCCTGGGTTGTAGTCGACGGGAGAACTACAGTTTTTTCCTGATGAAATCGCAACAAAGGCAAGTTCTGTACACTCTAAATTATGTCCAAAAGTAATCCAGGAAGTAGTGTGAAGTTCACATGAACACGTTCATTTAGGATAACGCAGAGTTATGCCTTTAGTCAAGGACTTTTACAGAGCTCGAATGAACGGGGTTTCATTCAAAAGGGTAACGCAGAGTTACGCCTGTATAATGAATGTGTTAGAATTGAATTACTTCGGACTGAACTTCTACATTACTTCTAAACTGAAATTTGACATTTAAAGATATCTAAATACACTAAAATGAAATTGGACGTTTAAAGACCTTTAAATTACTCAAAATTTGGAATTGGACATTGCAAAAAGTAGATAGACCGCCATTTTGTGGCCATGTGGTCCTTTGTCCTCTGTCCATGTGTTTTCTTTGTTTGTCTTCGTCCTTCTTTGTCTCGTGTGTTCTTCCTTTGTCCATGTGTTTTATGTGTTTAAGTGTTTGTCTGTTTAAGCTCAAACTAAACTGACAAAACAAACTCAAAAAGTTTAACACCAGGTTTAGAATACTTGTTTTAAAAGTCATTGTGAAACCTTGAAACGGTTTCTTGGTTTAGAATTACCCTTCACCTAATGTTTGGATCTTGAAATGTATTAACAAATGTGCTTCTTGTTTTTGAGCAAAATGCCACATCCCTGCCAAAGCTTCAAAGCAACAAAATCCACCTATTTTCCATTGTGGGACAGAAAACCCACCCCCATTGCCATCTCCATACAGCCATCGACACCTACAAAACGACCCTCCACACAAACCCCCGCACCGGAAGCTGCTGACGAATAATCACGGGCCAATTTGCAAAGATCAAAGCGCGCAGGTCCACGGAGGGCGCTGGCCGTTTGTTCAAGTTAAATGGACGTGAGAATTGAAGGTGACATCTTGGTACATTTGCGACTTGAAAGTTCAGCTTTGTGTCGCTGTTGGAGGACGGCTGCTAGTCTTGCGTCGGAAACGCAGACAGAGAAGAGTTTCGAAACAGGAACAGAGTGCACATTTCAGGTCATAACCAAACATGAGGAGGGGTCGAGAGGAAGTGTCAAATGGACTGACTATGGACTGTGAAAATGGACTTTGGCTTTTCGGGCTTTTGGGCGTGTGCGTGGTGTTGAATTTGATAACCAAAGTTAATACATTTCAAGTTAATACATTGTTCAGTTTTGAGCCATGTATGTTTCAATAGGGGGAATAGTTTATGGAACAACAATATGAAATTGTACTATGAAAATTTTTTCTTGTTCAGTTTTGATGTGTGTTTTTTCATTTTCAGTTCTCCATGTTCTCCATGTTCTCTATGTTCTCCATGTTTAAACATAGATTGTTTGATTTATCAAAAGGATAAAAAGGAGGGAATGATATTGGAATGTAACTTAAGTTATCATTTTGGTAAATCATATGTGGCTATGTGCTGAATTCTCTGTATTGTAATTCACTTTAGCTTCAGCAAAACTCCGGGAGGTCTGGGGAGCTCATATGTTAAACAGCAGAGGAAGCAGTCTTTGTATACGCTAATTCGGAGTGTATTTTGTTGTGTTGGTTTCTTCCTTTCCCATCTGTATACGAAGGTGTGTCTTGCTCTACCAAAAGGGGCTTGCAGACTGTGAATCTTCAGACTTGTCCTGAGAGAGGCTAGGGTCTGTGCCTTGCCTCTGTCAAGACATTCTCCTTGTACAATGTAACAAGTAAAAGATTAACTTTGTCTCTTTGTTGTGTGAGATTTCATCAGGTTCAACTGTGGCTGAAACAGCTTTATCAGTGTCCAAGAGTAACTGATTAACTTTGGCCTCATAGTCTGAGCTGTTGAGGATAACTGTGCATCTGCCTTTGTCAGCTGGTAAAATAGTTATACTCTCATCCTTTTCTAATGCCAATAATGCTTTTTGCTCATCTAATGAGACATTGGATTGTGGGGGCTTCGCACAATCTCTTAACAGAGGAGGAGGGTTAAGATTTGTTTTGCCTCGCATCTATGATGACATCCTAAAAACAACGCCCTAACTTGGGACGAGGTCAGTGACATGCTAATGAGTTAGGAGGGGTGAGACCTGTGTAGCTGCCCACTTGGAATCACCACTCAAGATGCAGAGAGCTTCGACTGATGCAACTTTAATTCTCTCCTCTTTCTGTCGCCGACAATATGGCACCGTGAAAACTATAAAAGTGCACAAATAAATGCCATCATTTTATCACAAATCATAGAAAATAGTTGAACACAAATCGTAATATTGACATGAAATCAACACCTTTAAACTATTTAGGTTACAGCTTTTAATAAATAAAATAAAGACCACCTTTAAATTTCTTAAATAAATAAACAACCGTTTTTAATCACTGCACCAACCTCTTTCTGCTTCCAAGGGCGCTAATCTTGCTAAAACCGCTAGCAGCCTCCTCCATGCACTTTTCATAGCCAATCTTTCCACATGGCAAACAAAAGACATGCATATACAAAGGAAAACAAAAAAAAACGATTTCAACTGCAATGAATAATTTCTCCAAAAGTTACTGCATACGACAGGCAAATGAAGTACATGTTTTACATACCTATCCCAAAGAGTAAAAGTTTATATCGACTCTGAAACAGCGTAGCAGTGTCGTTTTACTGAGAACGGAACCAGAAGTAACCACGCAAAGAGAACAGGAAGAGCGGTGCCTTTCAAAATAAGGGCGTAAAATAAAATAGCCTCACTGGCATTTACAACCTGCACTCCACTTGAGCATCCCAGCAGACAATAGGTCTGTGACATGCTAATGAGTTAGGGTCGTTAGCCTCAGCAGGGTCGTTAGACCTGCTCCCTTCTACATCAAACAGACCTTAGATTGTTTATGAGTTAGTATCAGGATTAGGGTGTGGCTAACAACACCCATAGGTTATAAATCTCCAACGCGCGGTCTGAAAATTCATTCCCTGAAGAAGTCCGCTGGTTTGAGTACGAAACGTCGGAAAAACTTGCTAAGGAGTACAGATGATGGGTGAGAAACCTTCCTTTGCTGTAATTTATTGATTCATATTTATTGTTTACTATAATGTTTAGGATAGCACAAGTTGGTGATACATTTAAATTGTTATTGTTTTATGCTTGATATAAAGGATTCATTCATCCATCCATCCATTTTCTTCCCCTTAATCCATTTCTGGGTCGGGGGGGTGGCAGTCAGAGCTGCACCCAGTACACATTGCACCAGCCCCTCACTGATCCTCCTGCAGATGGGGAGTCCACAGGAGCTGAGATCTTTCAGTTGGGGCTTTGGGCAAAGTAGGGTTAAGTGTCTTGCCCAAGGACACAACGACAGCAGTCATCAGTAGGAGTCGTGCACTAGGTCTTACGGTGGGCTCAAACCCACGACCTTCAGGCCCAAAGGCCAATGCTCTACCAACTGAGCTACTGTCGCTCAGTTGGTAGAGCATTGAATCTATGATTCATTCAATCATAGATAATCAAAAAGAGGATGAACTCTGGAGGAGGGATGTAAAAAACTATGAATTTTCATGACCGACCACCGAGCCTCATTAGCCAGTTGAAACCGGTTAACCGTGTGGTTTAAACTATTCCGTGTTCAACATTACACTCTTTTGTTGATGATACTTTGCTCATTTGTCGAGACTCAGATGAAATCAATGAAACGTGATGTTCGTCCAGACCTCTGACTGCGCTGAGACCTGTTGAATGTCACAGCAGAACCTGCAGGGGGCGCTCACGTGAATGTCCTGCACACAGACTGTCCTGCGAGAGCTCCAGCGGCGGCAGAGTTCTCAAGTCACGCCCCGGCAACAAAATAAATATTATTATTAGTTTATTACAGAAACAACCATGTGATTTCAAATTATACAGGATTAAAACAACAGGACATTTTCAAAGATAAGTCCTTCTGTGCACAGGCCTCACGTCGTCATGACAACATGCCTTGCTATGTTGTCATGGCAACCCAGCTTGCCTTTATGAAGTCATTCTAGAATGTCTGCTTTAAAAGGTTAAGTCAGGAAGACGTAAACAGGCCAAAGTTAATATCTGTCCGACAGCAGTGTATTATTTGACCACATTATAGAAACAGAAGCAAACACAAACACAGACAACATGCAGCGTGGACTCCCCAGTGAAGTCCACAAGACCGACCTGTCCCTCCTGTACGAACTGGCATTACTGCACCACCTGCAGCTGCAGTTTAATGAGATGGGAAAAGAAGGCCCTTGCCATGCACCGACTTTCCACATACAGCTGAGAGTAGGGGACCTGGTGGGATTTGGTTCAGGCCCCACCAAACAAAACGCCAAGCTAGGTGCAGCTAAGGTGGTTTTGCATCAGCTGAGGATGCGTCCTTTGCCAGAGGACGTGACTCCATACTGGTCCAAACCGCACATGGAGCTCGTGGACCCCTCACAGCGGGTCTACTTCTTCTACAAGAAAGACCCCATCAGACCCCGTCAGCTCCGATGCCGCTCACTTCATGGTTTCAGCGATGATCCAAAAGCTCTTGGACAAATCCCCCGTGTCCCTGGATATTAGGGAACAAGGAAAAGTCATTTTGCGACTGCGTGAGGTGGAGCGAAGGGTCTCCATGCCCCAAGGAACAGACCTAAAGACCAAGGACCTCAAAACTAAAGCTAAAGAGGCGGCTAGAAGTCTCCGGGAAGAGCTGGGACCCATCTCCTCCGCCCTGCTCCAGAGCGACTGGTTTGTGGAGGCAGCGGTGAGAAATCTGAACATCCTGCTCCAAGACTTCGACGAGGACCGAGGCCGACGACCAGGACGCTTCTTCCTCCGAGTTCTTAAAATGTTCAGGACCAGGAGGAGCAGAGTGTCGCCTGGTCCTCTGAGAGCATACCTCAGATCAGCGTGTTAAGAGCACATCACTCCTGCCTGAGGTCACTTTCACTTACTGTAGGAAGTCACCGCAGAAGGACTGGGGACATAAAAAAACATAATTAAGACAAAAAAAGCATGAAAAACGAAAAAAAATAAAAAAATAAAAATAAGGTTGAATTCATAAAATTCAACAAAAAAGGGAAAAAAGAAAAAAACATTGATATTTGAAAATCAAATTGGGAAATAACAATGCTCATTTAAATATCGCATGGCATAATGTAATATTTAAATGTATAATGGCATATTGTAAAAATGCAAATTTTTATGATATGCCATGAGCTTTGAAGAACTCAAAAATCTAAATGGGGGGTTATTTGATCGACTTAACAAAAAAAAAAAAAAACACAACCAAATTGGGAAAAACAAAGCCTTTTGGTATAGCTTAAGAATGCGGATTTTTAAGATATGCCTCAAGCTTTGTTGAGCTGAACAAAAAATAAAAAGGCCCAAAACAAGCTCCACACCAAAAATCAAGCATGTCCCAAAATGTCTACAAATAGTGAAAATGTGTGCCGGGGCCGAAACACTTCGTCCCAAAAAGCTTGTTACGCCCCCTATACCTTAACAGACTTTTAACAAACACACACTTGTCCTCATATGTCACTAATTTTGTCACAAACTTACATACATTCCCAGAGGCGGACGCATTTGTTTGGAGCCTTTTTCGAGTTGCACATTTTTATGAGTTATTTTTAAAACTAAATTTCTATCACTGTTTTTATTCGCCCTGCTCAACGGATTACGCGGATTTTAACAGACTGTATCAAAAAGGATTACTGCCACTTTTAACAGGACTGTTTATCAGCCTTTTACCGGTAACCACCACACATCACCATGGACACCGATGATCTCATACAAACAGATATACAAATCACAACTTGCTTCAATCCTCCCATCAAAACCAGTAAACACCATGACCCCCGAGGAACTTCAGCGCACTGTCACAGAACTATCCACCGAACTCATACAAAAAGAGAAACTTCTGGAACATTTCACTCAAACAGTCACAGCAAATATCCCTCTCCATACTCAGACACTCACAGCTCACTACCACACTCCACGACACAGCACTCTGGGATCCAATCGCCTGTCCTCACCCCTCATCATGCTCTACCCCGGTGCTTACCTCACGCTCCCCGGTTGCGGTTGCTCCTGTCCCTCCGGTTGCTCTTCCCTCCTCTACGGTCCCGGAGCCTGCTGCCCATACCCAGAGCGGCGCGGAGCAGAGGCCTGGAGGCCACACGACATTCACTGCGTCCTCTCGCCGCAGGTTGGTGGAGGAGGCTGTGCGCAGACGCTCGGGGACCTTCCCACACTCTAAAATAGCGCGGGGCTCCCTGGGTGTCACGCAGGACCAACTGCGGGAAGCCCCGGGGGGGGTTTCTGTGCCCCGACGTGGCTTCGTATACCCCCGGGAGGGCTGTCCCTGCTGTAGGAGGGTCCGTGTGCTCTGACGCGGGGGGAATCCCCAGAGGCAGGACACGAAGCAGGTCCTACGCTGAGGTGGCCTCTGCGCTCTGGCACGGTGCAGAGTCCTCCCGTAGTTGCTGCCTCGCCCGCGGGGGAGTCTTTGCGTTCAATTTTGGCACGGAGTTCCGCCGCGGAGGCTGTCTCGCCTGCTGGAGGATCTCTCCGCCCGGTGCATGACCCTCCTACAACCGCCCGCACTACTACCACCACCAGCCCCGCTGCAGGGGCGCCGGCTCGGTCTCCGGCTCCATCCTCCTGCTCCACTGCGGCTCACGGGGCTCGCAGCAGCTCTGCTCCGGGCACTTCCCAACGCTCTCCTGTCCCCTGCTCTCCCCCGGGCCCTACTCCAGTCACACCCTCCCCTCCACGGCCTCTGTTTGCACCAACTACACTCCTGGTGGGGGATTCTGTCATCAAACACTGTAAGTTCTTCAATGCCATCACGCACTGCTTTCCTGGAGCCACTGTCCCCACCATCCTCACGAAACTACCCGCACTTCTACAGACAGCACCCCCCACAATAACCCGGATCATAATACATGTTGGTACAAATGACAAGTCACTTCGCCAAACTGAAACCACCAAACTCCATTTTAAGGACCTTTTTAACCTTTAATTGAAATCCGGCAAAAGTGTTTTTATCTCTGGCCCTCTGCCCACTTTGAACCGGGGCGTGGAACGTTTTAGCAGGATACTATCACTCAACACTTGGCTTCAAAACTCATCACAACAGCACAACTTTGGTTTTATTGACAATTTTAATCTGTTCTGGAACCGCCACCCCTTCTTCACACCCGATGGACTCCATATCAACAAACTCGGCACCCGGTACCTGATTTCAAACATCACCCACTCAGTCCAATCTCGTCCCTCGCACCTCTGACAATCCACCACTCCATCCCACATCATTCTTGCCCCTCTGGAGTCCAACATCGGTCCCTGCTCCCCCCTCCAGCAAGGAATTTCAGTTCTGTCCAGACCCCGCCCCTACAGACCGCCCATAATCCGGAAACCGTCCCATTCCCCACTTGGTTTTACCTGCCCCCTGTGATTTTATAGCAAATGATTTTAACAGTAGACTTAGTTCCGCGTTGGATCAAGTCGCTCCTTTAAAAACAAAAATCATAAAAACAAAATCTGTACCCCCATGGAGAAATGAGGAAGTACGGAAAATGAAACGAGAGTGCAGGGTGGCAGAACGAAGGTGGAGGAAAGATAAAATAACAATCAACTACGAACTATATAAAAACAATCAAAAAGCATACAATTACACAATTAGAAATCATAAGAACAAATACTTTGCAAAACTAATCACCCAAAATAAAAATAACCCAAAGGTCCTATTTTCAACCATCGACACCATTTTAAACCCTGATTTTAGCATGTCTCTTTTAACCCCCACTGACTCCCTCTGTGAGGATTTTGCAGTCCACTTCACGGGGAAGATAAACACAATCAGATGTAACATTTTATCCAACCGTACTACTGTTTTTAACACATCTGATTGTTTGTCTTCACCAGAGGAAACACTGGACAGTTTTGTCCTGGTTGATGCTGAGATGCTTGATAAAGTTTTCTCCTCAGTGAGGCCCACCACATGTCTTTTAGATCCAGTCCCCACTCCATTTTTTAAGTCATTTTATGAATCTTTTAGAGAGGAGCTTTTAAACCTGATGAATTGCTCTCTTCAGACTGGGGTCTTTCCTGCAGCCTTCAAAGCGGCTGTGGTGAGACCTGTGGTGACAGTTTTTGGAGTAATTACATAAAACCAGCCGCAGCAAATACACGGACGTCAAAGGCCTTTTATCAATGCAGACGACCTTCTGACGCCATGCTGAGCTTTGTGAAGGTCCCTGCTGTCTGTCACACCCTTGTGTCTTTCCGTCTTGCATCTGTATGACCTGCATTTCCACCATTGTCTGTCTGTTCACACCCCATGCCACTGCCACCACAGGGGATGGCGCCGGCGCTTCCTGTGCGCCTCCTCACCGGTGGCCCCCTCCGCTCCGTTGTGGGCGTGACTATCTTTGGTGTGTGTCTTGTATACAGGAAGCTGGGGGCTCTGGCCCCCAGAGCTGAGCATGCTGCCTTTGTGTGCATATGCTGACTCTCCGCACTGTGCGTTAACAATAAACTTACGCTTTTGATCAGACAAAGGACCTTTGAGTTTTCTCCTTCATGGGGTATATATTTCTATAACAATTTGGCGTTGCTGACATGTCTTGGCGTGGATACTTTCGGCGGGGACGAGCGGCTTTGTTTGGCCGACCTGGATCACCAGCCTCTGTTCCTTTTTGGAGACAAAGGAGGGCGCGCTTGTCCCGCGCACGGAAGGAATCCTTTTGCCACACAAGACCAAAAAGAACCTAATCTGGTGAGTCTTGTCTTTTCATCTGCGTAACGAGCCCAGGGCAGCACTTAAGTGTACACGGGGATTTGTTTATTTATGTATTTTTGGGGTATTTCATTCATTGCCACAGCATAGTCTGTGTGCGGGATTTTTTGGGGCTTTTTGTTCTAGATTGAAACTAGCGGCTGCGCGTTAGTATCGCATTGTAAGCGACCCTGGAATCTCCGAGTGTCTTCAGCCAGAACCGCTCCGTTTTCAAGAACGCGCGCTCGCTGGTTGAACCAGCGGGGGGGGGAACGGAGCGCCCCAAAGTGGGTAGGAGCAGGGAGAGACTAAGCGGGTTAGGCCCATTGTTCGTACGAGAAAATGGGTAAAAAACAATCTAGAAGACGCAAGCTATGGAGTGCTTGCCTATGGTGCAGGCCATTACGCATCTTGCGTGATAATTTAGAAGAAGAAGGGAAGAAAAAAATATACTTGGTTTTAAGAATATCACGGCAAAAGAGGTTAGAGAAAGAAATATGTAAAAACAATAGCTCCTCCGCCTTTCACCGAAGCGGAGAACACAGGCGGACACACACACACACATCCCCCACACCCCCACCCTACCCCTACTAACAATAAGTGTGCACCCAAACAAGGCGTTGGGTTTTTAAAAAATGAAGCAGACTACTGTTGTCTCTTTTCCCTCTCCCTTATCCAGGTCTGTCGGCGCCTTTCCTCCGCGCTCTGTCCTCTGCCTCAAAGCACCAGCCCCACGCCCCAACCACAGGCGGCGCCCGCACCAGCTGAGACCCCGCGAGAAGTGGGCCCAAACCGCAGAAGAAGAAGAGGCGGAAACAGACACACGCTCAGGAAACCACAGAAGAAGAAGCGGGGAAGCAAATATGTGAGACACCGAGAACTGCTTTGGAGCACAGAGAGAAACTGCTACAAATCCCGTGACTGTTCTCCACGGAGGGGGCAGCGTGATATACCAAACGCACCCGCCGAAACCCCCCTGAAAGTTGTTCCCGCACCGCAAACAGAAGAAGCCAAAAGTACCGGCACGTTTGGGTTATTCACCAACCCTCATGGACCACATGCAAACGCTTTGGGCTACCTGGGCCTCCTGCGGACTTTGAAAAACTTCCACAGCCCGGCGGAAAGACTGTGTG